CTGTGACCTCCTAACCCCCTACCAACCCGCCTGTTCCCTCTGCTCAGCCGGCTCTGGCCTGCTCCACATCCCCCAACCCACCCGCCCCACCATTGACAGGAGAGACTTCAGCCACTTTGCCCCCAACCTCTGGAACTCCATCCCCCAATCACTCCGCCTCGCCCCCTCCTTAGCCTCCTTCAAATCCTGCCTCAAGACCCTCCTCTTCGACCATGCCACTGGCCACCCCCCTTCCCCACCCCTCCCCTCTCCCCCCCTGACCCCAGCTCGGGTCTGAAATGCTGTACACTGTCCAGCGCCTTGGTACATCCTCCCGACGTGAAAGGCGCCATACAAATGTAATCTTTTCGTTGGTGATGGTGGTGGTGGTAAAATAAACCATCTTTCGTCTCTGAGTTAGAAGGTTGTCGATTCAAGCACACTTCGGGGCTTTGAATTAGTATAGCCTAACCTGACATTCCAACGCAGTGCTGGGATGTTCTGCATTATTGGAGATGCCATCCTTCGGTTGAAATATTAAATCGAGGCCCTATCTGCCTGTTCAGTTGGATGTTAAAGAACCCAGGTCAAAGAGAATGGAGTTTCTCCCCATGTCCCGGCCAACAATCCCCCAAATAAATGTTCCACTTCCACCCTCGATTCTAGGCCTACTGATGTTCTGTCAGTCTGTCTGTTGGTCATCAAAGACTGCAAGATCCTCAATATTTTGCATCTGTAACATGAACACGATGAAAGCCTTTTGTTTCAGCCTATCCAAACATCTCCTAATTTCCAATTCTGACCTCACCCTCACTGGCTTCTCATTCAAACCACTGTGCAATCTACGTATTTGGTTCAATCCCCAGCCCTCCTTCCTTCCTTCCCTCCCAGCGAGCGCCGTGGGACATCCTCCCGACGTGAAAGGTGCCATATAAATGTAATTTTGTTGTTGTTGTTGTTTCTCACATTTTGTCCCTGACCAAGCCCACTTATCTTCTCCTTCACCACATTGTGCAACTCCATTTCTATCTCAACCAAAATGCTGATGAAATCCTCATTTCCAACTCTTCCTTTCACTAGCTGCAGATCATCCAAAACTCTGCAGCTCGTGTATTCTCACAAACCAGGCTCTGTGACGCCATCACTCCCACCCTCGCCCGACTCCACTGTCTCCCCATCCCCTAGAGGATCAAATTCAAGATCCTCGTCCGCACCTTTAAGGCCATCCATGGCCTTGCCCCCTCCTACCTCTCTGACCTGCTGTCTCCCGCCCAACCCGCCCTACCATCGGTGGCCGGGCTTTCAGCCTCTCTTCCCCCACACTCTGGAACTCCATCCCATGGTTCCTTCACCTCGTTTCCTCCCTTGCCTCCTTCAAGGCCAGTCTCAAGACCCTTCTTCTTCGACCGTGCCTTTGTTCGCCCTCCCACCTCTCTGCCTTCCCTCACCCCTACACCACTCCTCCCCCACGCTTGGGCCCTGACACCTGACTGTTCAGTGCTTTGGGACATCCTCCCAACGTGAAAGGTGCTCTATAAATGTAATTTTGTTGTTGTTGTCATTCACTCCTTTGTTATCTCACAATTGAACTTCTATAATGCACCTCTCACTGGTATCCTGAGTTCTACCATTCACAAACTCCAACATATAAAACAACTACCCACTTACTCATCTGCATTCTCACCCAAACCAGCCTTCTTATACCAGGCTCCCCTTCTCCCAATTGATGGATTTCAAAGTCCTCATCCTCACTTGTATATTCCATCATGCCCTAGCACCTCCCTATGTCTGTGATCTTTTCCTACCTCACTCTTTTGCTCACCACCACCACTCAGCAAACTCGGGTCTACTGCTCGTCCCCACCTCTTCCACCACACCATCAGTGGCCAAACCTTAAACAGCTACACCCTCTCAGGAACTCCTTCCCTCTACCTCTCTACCTTGCTCTCTCTCTCTCTTTAAATCCGGCCAAATAACCTACCTCTTTGACTGTGACTACAAACACCTCCCACTCTTGCTCGGCATCGGAACAAGAGGGGAGGTGTTTGCAGTGAATTGTTCTCAGTTGTTATGCTTTATGAAGGGCACTATATAAATGTAAGTTGTTGTTAAATAATGGGCTATCCTAAAGCAAGTGAAGGACAAACAAATGAGAAGGTCCAATAATTTTGCTAAAATTTGTAGACTTTTGCTAGCACCATTAAGTCTTGCAGTGTATTGGTTAGCGTGCTTGCCCAAAATGTTGTAGAATTATGTAAAATTCTTAAATTAATTTGGAAGCTTTTTTTAAGAACTGTAGAAAATCAGAAACCAAATTAAGACTGAAATGATAAATTTTCCACAAATCAGTGTGATCTGATAAAGCTAAGACCAGGTGGGGCCTTTGTAGGCTGGTTGAAGATTACTTACTACGCAAGAATCCAAGATCAAGGGAATTCGCTCCGCGGTCACTTCCCCTCCAACATCCACCAACCCCCCACCCCCTCACTCCCACACTCCGACTGCTACCCATCCTCCCCTACTCACTTTTGTACCCGTTTCCCCACCCTCTGTCACCAAACTCATCCTATCCCTAAAACCAACCACCTGCTCCCTTGACCCCATCCCCACTCCACTCCTTATCTCCCAGCTCCACTTTCTTGCCCCACATATCACCGACATCATCAACCTGTCCCTCTCCTCTGGCTCTGTCCCCATTCCCTTAAAAACTGCCACCATCACGCCCACCCTGAAAAAACCCTCCCTTGATGCGTCGCAGCTATCAAGCTACCGGCCCATCTCCAACCTCCCCTTTCTCTCCAAGGTCTTGGAAAGAGTTGTCGCCTCCCAACTGCGCTCTTTCCTTTCCACCCATTCACTTTTCGAACCCCTTCAGTCAGGTTTCCGTGCTGCCCATAGCACAGAAACTGCCCTGGTCAAGGTCACCAATGATATCCTGACCATCTGTGACCAGGGCTCCCTCTGCCTCCTCGTCCTCCTCGACCTATCGGCAGCATTCGATACGGTCGACCACGCTATCCTACTCCACCGCTTGTCCTCCCACCTCAACCTTCAAGGCACTGTCCTTGAGTGGTTTAGGTCGTACCTTTCTCACCGTCTTCACTTTGTCTCAACGAATGGCTTCTCCTCCACCCCCCGCACTGTCTCATGTGGTGTCCCTCAGGGCTCTGTCCTCGGTCCCCTCCTCTTCACCCTCTACATGCTCCCCCTTGGTGACATCATCCGCAGACATGGGGTTAACTTCCACATGTATGCGGATGACACCCAACTCTACCTTTCCTCCTCTACTCTCAACTCCACGACCACCGATGTCCTGACAGCTGCCTGTCCGACATCGAGTCCTGGACGAGAGACAACTTTCTTCAGCTCAACGTGCGAAAAACCGAGGCCCTCCTGATTGGCTCACGTCAGCGCCTCCGCACCTCAGGCGCCGACACCATCAGCATCCAAGGCTGCACTCTCCACCTCTCAAAGCCAGTCAGGAACCTCGGCGTTTTGAGCTGTCCTTTCTCCCTCACATCCGCACCACAACTGGCACCGCCTTCCATCACCTCCGGAACATCGCCAGACTACGGCACTACCTCACCCCTCACGCTGCTGAAACCCTGGTTCACGCCTTTGTCACCTCAAGGCTGGACTATGGGAACTCTCTCCTCGCCGGCCTTCCCGCCACCTCCCTCCACAAGCTGCAGGTCATTCAGAACTCTGCAGCTCGTGTACTGTCCCGCACCAGGCTTCGGGACCACATCACTCCCACCCTCGCTCGCCTCCACTGGCTCCCCATCCCCCAGAGGATTGATTTCAAGATCCTCATCCTCACCTACAAGGCCATTCACGGCCTTGCTCTCTCCTACCTCTCCAACCTACTATCCCCCTACCTACCTGCCCGTACCCTCCGTTCCTCCGGCTCCGGTCTGCTCCACATCCCCCGCCCCAATTGCCCTACCATCGGTGGCCGGGCCTTCAGCCTCTCAGCCCCGAGGCTCTGGAACTCTATCCCCCAGTGCCTTCGCCTTGCTTCATCCCTCTCCTCCTTCAAGGCCGGTCTCAAAACCTTTCTCTTTGACCGAGCCTTCAGCTCCCCTCTCGACTCTCTTCCCCATCCTCGCTCCCTCCCTCCCTTCCCTCCCCTCACCCTGACCATTTCCCCCCTCCTCGCTCCCTCCCTTCCCTCCCCTCACCCTGACCATTTCCCCCCTCCTCGCTCCCTCCCTTCCCTCCCCTCACCCTGACCATTTCCCCCCTGCTCGGGTCATGACCCAACTGTGCAGCGCCTTGGGACGTCCTGACGTGAAAGGCGCTTTATAAAAGGAATCTTGTTGTTGTTGTTGTTGTACGCCCAATCTTTGAGCTTTCAAAGCATTTTGTGTCTTGTGTTGCATAATTACTTCAGGATGTTTTAGCCTGTTACTCTGTTAAAGCTAATGACGATAAAAGGTATTCTTCCAGAAGGAATACTGCTTGAGCAATTCTTGAAAGGAAAGACAACATTAAAATCATGTCATTTTTTTTGAAGAAACATTGAGAGTCAATGAATGCAAGATGGTACACACTCCGATTGGGGAGATTACAGGTAATTCAATCATTCTAAATAATCTATTTAACCCAGTGTGTCATGTTTTAAAAAAAAACTTTTCATTTTGACTAAATAATATAATTAACAAAATGTTTGTTGGGCTTTATTCTTTGCAACTATTAGCATCATTTATTTTCCATTCACCATTTCTCTAAATACTCAATGATGAATGATAGGCTCAGGTTCTACAAAATGATAGAAATAATTGTATTCAATGGTTTAATTGTCCTCTTTTATCCTTATTATTTTACCTCTCTTTATCAAGTTACAAGAACTGAAAATCCATTACCTTTTGTCTGCACTACAGATCTAATTGCTTAAAATAAAAGGCTTACACCCATTCTGAATGTTTTAATAGAAATTCAATGTATTTTAATTTACCTGCACTCAATTGGCACCAATTTAAAGATGTAACAGCTCATAAGGCTCTGTTAAGATTCCTTACCTCTTCTCCTGCCTGGCACCAGCCATTATTGGTGTCATTAGTTCAGATGTTCGACAGGGATGGAGGATGAAAAATGGTTGGCCAAGTAAATGGTGCTCCTAAAATCACACACATAAAATACATTTCAGACATAGCAACCATATTTCATTTGCTGAGTTTCTTGGATTTCATTTCTAACAATACAGGCTTGGTAAATGTATCTAAGAAGTTTTTTTTTAAGTGTAGGAGTTTACAATAACACAGGAGAAGTTTTTTTAAGTACAGCAAGAAACAGGACAAAGATCATGTTTTCCATCCAGATCCACAACAACAACAACTTGGATTTATATAGCGCCCTCCACGCCAGATGGCGTCTCAGAGCGTTTCACAGTAACGGATTCTGGGACCAAGCCAGGGGGAGGCAGAGGGGGAGGAAGGTGACCAAAGGCTCGGGCGAAAAAAAAGGTCTTCAGCCGAGACCTGAAAATAGGAAGAGAGGGGGCAAGGCGAAGGGAGTGGGGAAGGGAGTTCCAGAGCCTCGGGGAGTAGTGGCGCCGAGGGTGGAGCGGAGGACTCGGGGGATGAGGAGGAGGCCTGTCCCCGTGGAACAAAGGCAACAGGCACTGTTGTGAGGAGAGAGGAGGTCAGAGAGGTAGGGGGGTGCAGAGGAGTGGAGGGATTTGAAGACAAGGATGAGGATCTTGAAGTCGATCCTCTCTGGGACAGGCAGCCAGTGCAGTCTGGCAAGGACTGGGCTAATTGGGCGTCAGTGTTTTTATAATGTGGATTTTATGGATGGTAGTGGAGGGGAGGCTGGCGAGGAGGGTGTTTGAGTAGTCCAGCTGAGAGGTGACAAAGGGACCAGGGTTTCAGCAGATACGTCGGAGCAGTGCTGGTGAGGGACCGGATGTGGGGGAGGAAGGATAATTTGATAATCCACAGCAAAGCAGCCAACAGAAAGTATCATTGATGCTACCTGAGAAGTACAAAAGTTATGGGGAATAGAAGTGAAAATAATCATACACAATCCAAATTTATACTAATAAAGACGTAATGTCTGTGTATCCGCTAAGAACTCAATAACCGATTGACGTAGAGACGTGATTTATACCTCATCGGAAAGGTCTTGCAATTGAGAGTGTCATGGGCATATTTTTTGGGGAGGATCTCCTACTGTTGATGAGCTATGACCTAAACAAGCTCATCATACACGTATGACAGTTTTGCTTAAGGTGTAACATAGCGCTGCAGTTACATCTGGTGGCTGCATCAACTCCCAGTGGTGTTGTGGCATTGTGGTTCACAGAACATGTACATATGTACACATGCATGGACTCAGACAAAGCCAAGTGGCGGGAACAAGATGGCGGTGGTGAGGTGGAATTTGCCTTGAGCGGCATTGCCGTTCGGCTACTTTTCCTGCTGCTCTTGGGAGGCCTCGGGCTGGGCAGTGCCATGTTGGAGTTGGGCCGGTGGTGGGTGACAGTTGTCTCAGTAAGGCTGCAGGGTTTCCGGCTTCCTCCATGCCACGGCTTAGCAGTGACTAGCCGGGGATGGTGAAGCCTCTGGCTCGAGTTGGGGCCTCACCCGAGGCTAGGGTTTACCCCTCCCCCTCTGGAGTTTAGCCCCTTCCCCTCTCCCTCCTCTTATGTATATAATTCAAATGGATCCAACAGATGACTAAATTGAGACCAAAGGTTGTGGGACTATTGTACAAGATATAGCAGAGCTCAAAAACAAAGTTTTCCTGAACCTCGGCCATAACTACACAAATCTACATTCCATATTGGATCCTTTAGTTACAAGTGTAGCTGCAAAGGGTCAGGACAGCTGTACTTTATAACAAACGTCAAAAGAATATTCCAGGGCACTTGACAGTCCTACCAAGCTGAGGGTGGGAACCGAGGGGATGGGGTGGGGAAAGCTATGATCAAAGAGAAAAGTCTTGAGACCAACCTTGAAAGAGATGAGGTAGAGGACAAGTCAGAGGGAGTCTGAAATGAAGTTCCAGAAAATCGGGGCAGATTGTGGGGCGGATAGACAGGAGGCAGGCAGATGCCTCCCGAGCGAAGGGAACGGGTGGGTTGGTATTAGATCCTAATATGAAGAATGAAATACATGTTTGGGAAATGAACACACCTACACTGTGTCATATGGGGAATTAATTACCTGAGCACTGTTGAAAAACACTGCATTAGATTGGACAGCAGACTGTAGCATTTTAAAGGTTACTGCATTCTTCACAAACACAATTATTGATCAAATAAAGATGATACCTTGTGTTGCATTATTAAATCAACATTTTATTCTGCATTAAATCTCCAAACCTCCAATTTCTTCATTAAAACTAAAAGTGTAAAGACCAAAATTGGCTTTATGACATAAAGCAGATTTTGGAATAAATAGAATACAGCTTCAAGGAAATCTTGCAATGTGCAAGCCATTCAAAAGGCAACCCTAAAAGCACCCAAGAAGTAAAGAACATTAATGGATAGTAGGAAAGAGCTGGAAAGCAACATTAATACAAAAAAGTGATCTTAAAAGTGGTGTCAATGTCTCGGACACATGTGCTCAATGGCAGCATTCTGTACTGAAAATGTGTATGTTTTTATGTTTGAAGACCAAAACCTTCAGTCACTGTAAAACAGGGAAAATGAGGCCAAGACTTTTCCATGAAATTGTAGCAAAGAAATACAGATGTGTTTTTCCATTTAGCTGGGCAGAAGTCCAAAAGTCTTGACAGTGATGGAAAAGAAAGAATTCAGGGAATAGGCTAGGGCCAGGATTTATATGTAATACAGGAAGCAACAGTCCCATGATGGATGTCATTATATAAAAATGTCTTAAAGGGACAATGTTCCTATGATTTTCTTCCATAACTAAGTTAAGCTGTCGAAAACTACAGATCTTTAGAGTTTCTTCGTAATAGCAAATATTGCTTTTGATTTTCACTTGCACAGCTAGTTGATACGTAATTCATTGGTTAAGAGGATTACCTTCATCAAACCCAATTCACAGAACAGGGATCTGACTTTTTACCAGTTGCGTTGAGACCAGTGTCGACCATAATTCATCATTTTGTTTTTGCCATTCTTTTCATCTCTACCTCTAGGGATGGTTTGGACTCTTGCTAGGATTTAGTTGTGAAGTGCCCAACTGTGGTGGCATCACAACCATATCATCACCTGATGTTCTTCCCCATCCCCCCTCCCAATACACTCACACACAATTATTTTCCAGGGATCCAAGATTCCTCCTCCCTAATCCAGCAGTACTGAGACCAATTGTATCGCCCTAATTGCTGCTCACCTTAGATCAACTCACTTGGTGGAGACAATGATTGAAACCTGCCACCTTCTGCTCTGTATGGCCTTCACCAACAAGACTATGAGGCATTGTTTCTTTTCAAAATCGTTTTTTCACTCAAACTGAATGACAATTCTGACTGAAAAAAGATGTAGGCGATGAGAAAATGGAACATTTCTACAGCAATTGAGCTACAAAAGAGAAGACAAACAGTTTTTTAGCCACCATGGACCAATGTGTCATGTAGCTGAGACAGATTGTCTTTTAATGCAACAATCCACAATGTAAAAGCACAGCAGTACATTTCCTCTGCTTCCTGCATGGGTAGAGCAGCTATAAAGAGGAATGACCTATTGGAAACTAGGTGTATGGGGAAACAAAAGAGTCTTTATATATTGATAATTTTAACAAAGGTTATAATAATAATCCTTGCATTTTATATAGCTCCTTAGCACATTGTTGAAATGTCTCAAAGCTTTTCACAGGATAGACTGCAAAGTAATCTGACTGTGTGTAGTTTTTTGTGGGTTCTCTGATGACAATGAATTAGAATAAATTCTTTGTGTAAATACCTGTCCACTGACATTAAGGGGACTGACATTAAAGGGACTTAATAGCAGGCCGCTGATATTAAAGGGACATTAATATCAGTGGTCTGTTTCATGTCCCTAACCACCCCACCATTATCGGGTGGCTTTTAGCCATTCTGCCCGCCTCCTCCCCTCTTTCAATGCCTGTCCCAAAATGTACCTCTTTGACCGCTCTTTCGGTCATCTTTCCCTCCTACCCACGCTCGGCTGTCACCCCCAGCTCAGTTGCCCATCCAGCGCTATGAAATGCTTTGAGACTTCCTCTCAATGTGGAAGTCGCAGTATAAATGTAAATTGTATTTTATAGTATTTTATAGAAAGCAGTAATATCTGAAATGATGGGCAGCATAAACTGATAAAAGACCTGGTTAAATTTACAGAATTTCTCTTCCCTTTATCCTTATGTTCTCTTAGATTATTGTTATTCTTTCCTGAATGGTGCTGTTGTGTAGTTTCCTGGCTGCCAGATTGTCTACAGTTCTTCACCCAAAGTGACCACTGTATATAAGTGTTGTCAGGTGATATACCAATGAATTGGGGTGGGAGGGATAGGAGCTCACAATCAAACCAATGCTTTGTTCATCCAACATTGACCTATACACCGCAGCAAGGGTGACTGACCAGCAATCAAGAAAGGAACCTTATCTGATATTTGTCCTCCTTACATCAAGGGCGTCCCAACCTTATATACAGCACCTCTACAGCTGGTGAAGTACAGCTGAATCAGCACAGGACTGTATTGGGGATATTTTGTTCCAAGTGCAGTGTACGTGGATAACATTACCCAACAGAAATGTAAGCATTTTGTAAATAGAGAAATTATTTGAAGGATTAAGCCACAGATCATACAATTATAGAAATCATAGCACCAGACAAGGCTGATCATCAATCTGTCTTTTTACATGTTGAAAGGTCGTTACAATATCCTTTCAGTTCATTAATTTCTAACAAATAATGTGAAACTGATCAAGGTGTAGTTCAGTTTTCATGTCTTAATTTTTTTAATCCACATGTTGAAACATAGTAAAAGTACATCCCATATTATTGTTCCTAATTTAAAAATGCTCAAAAATAACACCAAAATCCTTGGCAAGAAATCAAAATTATATTGATATATTGCACTCCCAATGGCCAGCTTGTCTACATTTTCCAGCTCTTGAGAACTGCAACAAGTCTGAACTATAACGTGATTAGATAGGAGAGAAAGCATTACATTGTATTTC